ATAATGATTAAAAAATAATAATTAGTAGATGTAAGAAAAATTACCATTGAAATCTACCTGATGACTTTATATCCATGCTCAGATGCCAAGGAGCTCAGAAAGTAACTGACTGTCACTAGTAATAATCAGATATATAGAGATTAGAAATGCATGTGGAAACATCTTAATGTCAATTGCATTGAAAATGAATTTTTCTGTATGAAACTGTATTTTAATAATGAAATGGAGATCTTTTTAAAGGTTAAAACCTCATTTAATTTTATGTCTTATAGGGTTTATACTGAGTACAATATTGTATAACTGTAATAATTCAGCTGTAAACCTAAAAATTTACAGCCAATTTTGAAAAAGATGCATCTTAACTCAGAAAATTGTTATTGAATATGTCAGTGCTGTTGTAATGAAATGCTTCTTCTAAGTATGTGGTTATTAAATAAATAATTAACTGGGAAAAAATAAACAATCACATTAACCTCAAAAAGAAAGAAAAAAAGAGACTGAACTGAAAAAAAAAAAATCAACATTCTTCAGTGAGCTGATGTTCCTAAAAATGAAATGGCTAAGTCAGCTGCCTGTGTGCATCACTTAGCAAAGCCTCAAGTTGTTTATAGAGAAACTGTGAATTTATATCAGTACAGGCTGCTCCCCTCTACCTTATATTTTGAAAAAAAAAAAATCAAGCCTTCACAGAAAACAGAAAAAGTAAATGTCCAAATGTCTTTCCGATTTGGAGCTCTTAATTCTGCCACATTGCTTTCTCTCTGTTACATATCTATGCTCCCTCTTTCTGTCAGACTTTTGCAGGTGGTATCAGAACTGTTTCAAAGGAAGTTGTAAGCATCATACTTTAGTATGTCTATATATTTGTAGAGGACAAATTCTGTCAGTGATCACACATTACATTTCATCATAGACTTCTTTAAGTTCTTATGTGGACATTTTCCTCTTCATTTGTTTTAAGTCTTTCTTGGTAGTGACCATTAGGCACATAGGTCAGTTATTTTGTAGAATATCCTTAAGCTCCATAATTATAATATTCTGGTTTACAGTTGTAGGAAGAATATACATGCATATATATATATATATATATATATATATACAAACTCAGGCATGTATGTACACATGTACATGTATGTGTACTGTCACAAACATTTATTATATAGGTAGAATGATAAAGATCCGTCTCTTCTCCCACGGAAGTTCCACTGTATGTGTTATCTAGCCTTTTATGTAGGTTCAGAAGTTTAGTCCATTATTTGTGTGTTTGGGTTTTTTCCCCCCCTGATAATTTATAGTTTGGTATAGGGCATTAAGAATCAACACTTACCTAGGGAATAGTAAGACTCCTTCAACATAGAAAATCTCACTGTCCTAATCTCTGGGAGGGGTAATCTGTTCCTCTGGAAACAAGCATAATATTTTTTTAGTGCCCCTGACGGTATTCTTTGGATGACTTACTGTATTGTAATCAGGGACAAATTTTCTACTCTTTAATTAGGCTCAGCTAAGGTATACAGCCTATTGAGCCACTTTTGGAAACACTTGGCCAGGTTTTCTATTATCTCTAAACCGAAATCTTGTTTTTGGAATCTAAATATTGAACATGTGTTCACTCTACAGCGTTTTGGCTGTGCTGATGCAGGATGCTTATGTATATTTTGTGGAAGCAAGGGTAACATGGAGAGATTGCATGCCGCAGATGCCAGCAGAGCTATGCAAGCTTGTTGAAAGCGTGCGTTCCGTAGGGTCCAGGCTTCCTGTTAGGAGACCTGGTGACACAGTAGCCTTTAGGCAGAGTTCGGGATGTGTAGGAAGTGTTCCTGCAGGTTTTGTCGGGGGGAAATCTGAGCTCTTTCTCTGTGGACAACTGCATTTCAAAGTCTGGACAGGGTGCTGTTGGATTTTTGTACTGGCTGCCGGGGTGCATGTTTTCCTTTCGGTGTCTGTCTTGCTTTTCTTCTGAAGTCATCATGGTCTTTCTGGAAGTTTCACGGGACTTGTTATACATTATCTACAGTAGGACTCAAAAGATTGTTTCTAATTTATTTGTAATTCAACATTTCTTCTTTTTCTCTCCAGATTTTGTGGAAGTTTACTACTTTGTCATTATGAGATGTCGTCTCTCGGTACCTCCTTTGTGCAAATTAAATTTGATGACTTGCAGTTTTTTGAAAACTGCGGTGGAGGAAGTTTTGGTAGTGTTTATCGAGCCAAATGGATATCACAGGACAAGGAGGTGGCTGTAAAGAAGCTACTCAAAATAGAGAAAGAGGTAAGATCTTTTCCTGAAATCAGAAATAATCATACAGCTCTTATATAAGCTTTTCAACCTGGAGTTAGAGGGTCACAGAGCTGCAAGGGACCTGGCAAGTCCTTTGGGACCAACCCGCGAGGCTGTTTCCCAATTTCCATTCTGGGAGCCCCATAAATAGAAAATATTGTAACGAGTGCTTTAGGGTTGAGTTCTACTAGGGGTCATCTAAAGTGAAAGGATTTCTTTCCGTGGCATCAGAGAGCCAGTGTTCTCGGAGTTGGCTGTCCTAGAGGAATAGGTGGGATCTCGGGTTTTTCCCTAGGGCAGCCAAAAGGGGGCACTAAAGAGTAACGGGTAACATTTTCATCCCTTGTCGTTCTCACCCTTCAAGTTTGTGGTCCACAGTTGTTGTCTTTAAGAAATAAGAGTACTGTTTTCCTACTGAATTAAGCAATACCGGCTCCTACGTGGTTTCATTTCTACTTAAAGCTCACAGTGAGGAGTTTTGTGCAATAAAAAAATTAATAGATGCTGGACAGAGAGTAGCTTTTCCTTGTAAAATCAGAAAAAGGTCTTGTCTTTCAGAGTCTGGAATTTGTGTTGAACCTAGATGAGCTTTGAACCCTAAGACTTTTTATCCTTCTTAGGATGTGACCCAACATAGGCCCCACATTCAGTTTGGTACCTCAGGATTAACTAATTTGTAGAGCTGACCCATAGGAGCTCAGCAGCATTGCTAACTTTCTCTTTAAAGTGCCTTTTAAAGTTTTAAATGTATTTTAACTGATCCTAAGAACACAAAAATTGTACATTTATGAGGTGCCATGTTAATGTTTCAGTACATGTATGCATTGTATAATGTTTAAATCACTATGTAACATTTCCATTGCCTCATTGATCATTTCTTTTATGGTAGAAACATTCAAACTTCTTTCTTCTAGCTTTTGAAATATACAATACATTATCATTATCTATAGTTGTCCTCCTGATAATTTTTACTACCTACCCTCTGGAACTTATTTTGGCCATTTCTTTTTATGTCCAGTTTTCACTAATTATTGTTCTTTTCAGTATCCTTTTAAAGTGAACTTTTCCATAAATATACTTTCTTTTCTCCAAGGGATCTTATTGTTTTCATTAAATGCCACCAGTGACCATCAAGGCTGATTAGAGAAGGAAACCCAAGTGGCAGCACTTTGTGGGTTTCCTTGCAGAAGTGTTCTGTAATTGAGGACCACCAGCTGGCTTGCCCATCGTTGAAGCCAAGACCACAGCACCGGGATGTCTCTGCCTTGGGGGGTCTGTAGGTTTTATTTGGTACTAGATTAGGATCAATTCTTGACCAAGAAAACACTTTAATAGTAGCCAAATAATAGAGCTCTTTGATCTAGTAAACTTTGCATTATTGTCCCCATTTTGTAGATTTGGAGATAGAAGTTTGAGAAATGTATTAAGTTGCCCCAGTGAAATTCAAGAGGCTAGGCCTCTCTCCTGTTCTCTAGGATTTAACTCAGACCTCTAATTGACCAGGCAAAAACAGAAAAGAAGCCAATTCCATCAACTTATATTCAAAGAGGCTTACAAGTATGTTAAGTGTTACATCATGAGACTTTAATAGAATGACCATCTTATTCCATTATGGGTGTGAGAAAGACTTTATAAGACAGGAAACAGATTTTGAAAACATAAATTGCAGCCCATTCACTTCCCACCTCCCAAACATATATACATACATAAATCTTTTCTACTGTGTTTGAGAGAGCCAGGAAAATGACACAGGCTGAAAGCAAGTATTGGAAACTGCCAAATCCTGCTTTTCTCTAGATATTTAACCTGCGTGTACATAGTTCAGAAATTGAATTGATAATAGTAAATTACAAAAGCGTAGCTCATACACTTACAAGTAGGAAAAAACAAAACAAAACTTCATTTTAGCTTAGGAGCTTGTTTTAGTCAGTGACTAAATGTCATCAGACCATTGTCATTATCGATCCCTGTGCAAGGCATCCCTCAAATGTGCTGAATCCTCACAATAATATGAAAAGGTCTGGCTAGGGACTGGCAGTTACTGGAGAGGAAGCATGTATTTCTTGTATAATTTTTGTGTTCGATAAAATGTGGATAGGCTGGTTAGGCATTTTCTAGATGATAAAATTGATAAACTCTAGATATCTCCCCCACCCCCATTTATACATTTAGTCCTAGGTTACTTGGTCATTATTTTGTGAGTTTTTAGAAGGAACAGAACATTTAATAAGATGTTCGTAACTCACTGCATATGACTCTTTAAGAATGGCTTAAATATGTGTTGTGTGAAATTAGTGGAATTTGGAGCAAATATCTACTAAACTCTTAAACTTGGCCTATGTGACTGTTCACTTTCACCTCATTTGTGCCCCTAGTTTAGTGAGAACATGCCACTTGCCTCCTCTTCAGCATATATGTGTTAATACAGTTACAGCTATTTTATTTTTGCTATAAGAATAAATTACAGATGTCATATATTCCCCAACACATAACCACAGTACAATTAACAAGGTCAGGAAATTTAATTGTCCATTACTTTATTGTGTAGTTTACCTTCACTTTTTGCCAGTTGTCCCAAGGACTTTTATGGGAAATTTTTTCCAATGCAGGATATAATCCAGGATGACAGATTGCATGTAACTGATGTGTCTGTTTAGCATGTTCTAATATGAAGCAGTTTGTCTGCCTTTCTTTGTTTATTAAGACTATGATAGTTCTGAAGAGCACAGAACATACTTTGCAGAACTTTCTCCTTCACCCGGTTTGGGTGGTTGTGGTGGGAATGCTGTACTGGCGGGTATCCTTGGCAGTCTCAGGACAGTGTGATGGGACATAGTGTGGCATTTTGTCTCATTCTTGGTGATGTGACTTTTGAACTCCTGGTTAAGAGTTCATTTCATTTCCTTACAGTAAAAACACCTATTTGCTCTTTGTAATTAACAATTAAGCTATTGGTGGATACTTTGAAGTTAGGTAAATATCTTTTCTCAACAAACCTCAATGTTTTTAGCATCCATTAATGATTCTGCCTTGGCTAGAATATCATTATGATAGTGGCTTTGTGTCAAAAGCAGAAGTTCCTCCTTCTAAGTCTTCTTTATCTCTCCTGCATTCAATTTATTATTGTTCATAAACTTTAAAGTATTTTCAAATTCAAAGTGATACACTCCATTACAGTTACTCATTTTTATGTTTAAATTATGCCTAGCTTGGCAAGTAAGAGCTGCTTCATGGCTTTTTGATATGGCCCTCTAGTTTGATGATTTTCTTACTTTCTGGCACAAAAAAGACATCCCAAGTTCATTTAGCTCCTGTCCCACTATTGGGCCAGCCATTTCTTCAGGAAGTCCTGAGTGAACACCCCTGGCTTGGAGTTTGGTATTTAGGAACCAAAATGGGAATTCAAGGGCTTCTAACTTAGACTTTTTGAAAAAGAGTCTTTGTCCTTTGGTAGAAATGAAAGAGAGAAAGAAATTTTACTTATGAAAGTGTTTAATTTAGAATTTAAAATCTTTCCTCTGGATAGATAGAATCTGTAATACATAGCTTTCTGGAGAAGAGTTTACAAAAGTGTATCACACACAAAATTTCTGAAAATGCTGGGTGTGGTGGTAGTATACACTTTTTTATGATTTTTATTTTATGTGTATGCGTGTGTTGCCTGCATGTAGGTAAGTGCACATGTGTTGTGCAATGCCTGCGGAGGACAGAAGAGGCTGTTGGACCCCCTGGGACTAGAGCTACAGACAGTTGTTAGCTGCCATGTGGGTGCTAGGATTCAAACCCAGGTCTTCTGCAAGAACAACAGGTGTTCTTAACTGCTGAGCCATCTCTCCAGCCCCATTGAAAAAGGTTTTCAACAGGAAAAAATAATATGATCTTAAGATTATATATAAAAAGTAGAAAAGAGGCCACTACTATGTATACCAGAGGACTTGGGGTGACATTGAACTGCTTGGGCAGAAGTTTTAAGTGAGTGGAAGTGCAAAAGAAAACTTTACAATCACTGTCCCAGAGAACCAGTGAAGAGTTCACCAGCTTCGAAACTTGGATGTTTAAAAAGGATTAATCACAGCAGCTTAATTTTCTGCTGGCAGTAGATTCGATGATGTGTTGAGCCAGACAAGTCTGCACATGGCTTTTTTGTTTCCCTTGGATGGGGCAGACAGCAACCTGAAAGCTCTGTCTTAAAATTGTCTAAAGCTTGTGTTAGCTGTTTGTTACTATTACCAAATAACTGAGCAAACAGCCTAGAGAAAGGCTTATTTTGCTCCTAGTTTCAGGGGCTCCATCATGGCAGGGAAGGCCTGGTGAGACAGAACAGCTCCGTCGTTGTGACTGGGAAGGGAGACAGGCAGGGATGAAGGGTCTGGAGAGAAGGGAGAGAAAGGAAGAGACAGAGAAAAGACGGAAAGGAAGGGCGAGATTGAGGTTATGCACATGTTAGCTGGTTTTCTTTTTTCCCCTTTTATCCCAGCCTATAGGAGAGTGCTGACCACAATCAGGGTGCTGCTTCCTCCCTAATTAACCCTGTCTGGCAATGCCCTTACAGCTTTGTTCGTTATTAATCTCTTTGGCATGTATCTATCCAATCAACACAACATTAGCCATTATTGCCTTTATGTTACCTTGAAATCTGTTAATACTCATCTGATATTAGCAAACCACAGTTAAATATTAGAATGAAAGAAACATGATTTTTGTTGGGTTTTTTGTTGTTGGTTTT